GTTGGTTGTACCACACTATGTGCAATCCCCGTCAGCCGATTCATACCAACTTTAGTAAAAAAAGTGAAGCTCACATTAAGCAAACATATCGGTCGGAACCGCTCAATACGAGTTGCCTCCTCCCTCTTTGGCAATGCTACTTGTGAGCTGTGTTGGGATTTCCTCAAGGAGAAGAGGATGATGCAATACAATAGAGATAAGTATTTCCCTCAGTTAACAACCAAGGTTATCCCTCGCAAAAAAAAGAACCAAGGTTATCACTCCGGTAGGAGAACCACACAGAACCTCGTTAGCAGCACCTGCACACACAAAAGCAAATACTTGCACCCAATGCAAACAAGGGGGTTGTCAATCCCCTCAGAGGTTACTCACAAGGATTATATCTTGTAGTGATACGTAATAAGATAAATTGCAAAATAAAATAAAATAAATAAAATTGCAGCAAGATATTTTTGTGTATTTTATATATGATAAAAGTGGACCCGGGGGCCATAGTTTTCACTAGAGGCTTCTCTCTCGAGCACATAGCATACGGTGGTTAAACAAATTATTGTTGGGCAATTGATAGAAATGCGCATAGTTATGACGATATTTCAAGGCATTGATCATGTATATAGGCATCACATCCGAGACATGTAGACCGACTCCTGCCTGCATCTACTACTATTACTCCACTCATCAACCGCTATCCAGCATGCATCTAGGATATTAAGCATAAAACAGAGAGTAACGTCTTAAGTAAGATGACATGATGTAGACAAAATAAACCCATGCAATATGAATAAACTCTGTGGTTTTATCCTTAATGGCAACAATACAAATACGTGTCTTGCCCCCTACTTTGTCAATGGGATATATAGCCCGTCTCCCCAGATGCCACTGCAAAGACATATAGCAAAATGCTAGGTTGCATCATGCGAAATAACGTACCGGTCGGTTGCAAGGATTTCAGCGGAGAAAAACAGAAGCTACTCAAAGTGTTACACCGGAGCTATGCATTTTCACCTGACTCTAAAAAAAGCCTGAAGAGTATGCCCTCTCGAAATGGCCGAGGATGTTTAGGTGCTAGAAGAGCAGTGCTCGTTGCAATCTCCTGGGTAAGAACTTCGAGACCGTTAAGGGGCTCAATCCCAATATGGAACTCAATGAATGGTCCAAGTTTCATGAATCATTAGAAAGCGATTCAAGCAAGGAGGTCAGCGATCATTTCCGTAATTTATGGAAACAGTTGACAGGTGATCACCTTCTGGGCACTGGTGGTTACAAAGATGCAATACCCAAGTGGGAGAAGGAGGCGTGAAGTTTGAAGTTGTGGGTAAACCACCCCCATTCTTGGAACATCAAGATCATCCGCGTTACTTCCGTCTCATCAGGGCCCGTGCAGTCTGAGACCTAGATACTAATGAGTTGGTCCTCCCGATGCTGCAACTTCGCTCGACGGAGGAGAACCTAGTAACGTCACTAAATACTAATAATTTAGTAGCTGCTACAATTATTACCATACTAATAATTTACCACAACTTATGTATTTTTTGTAGAGCAAAATGAAGGAGGAATTTGGACCCGGTCCTGAAGAATCTTCAAACGGCTATAGGTATGAAGACCATCTTACACAGGTTGTGAACGAGGGCTTTCGGGTTAACAAGAAGCCTAAGACTGGGCGTGTGTCGGGAGCGGGTAGGATGTTGTGGGACTAGGCCTATCCCTAGACCAAAGAGTTAAAAAATATAGAAGGAAAATAGGGTTGATGACAAGATCGACGCCAAAGTAGATGAGAAAGTAGCTGCAGCAATTCAAAAGAAGTTAGCTGAAATATTTCTGCAAGGCACGCCGAGTCCTACCCAACATCATCTGTATTGTAGCACCCAACAACCACGAGCATCACAAGAAGTTTCATGTTGGTTTCTAGCCAAAGTGAACGGCATGCCGATGAAGGTTCCCAAGGGGCAAATAATTCCGTTTACAGATGGTACTAGAATTATGTACGTGGTCGTCCTACCACTGGACATGACGAGGGTGCTGGTGCAGAACGTAATGTCGGGCTTTGAATTATGTTCATTGCCTCACCCCCTGAAGAAGGCATCATTGTGATAGAACAAGTGACATGGGGCCACCTGCTTAAGTGGACACTCGGTGATATAGAGGAGATTAGTCCACACGGATTCTCTGGTACTGACGGCGATCCCGTCTTCGCGAACCTTGCCTCCCTTTTCAACTTTGTCGACACCGGAGACATAGCCCAGGATATTCCGCAATCAACGAAGAAGGATCTACGTGCCGATTGCGGACCATCCGCAAAGAAGCCACTTGTGCCAGTCGTCTTCCCTGAAGGACATAAATGGGATCAGTATAAGCTCGGCGAACCGTCGCTATCAGACTCTACGTTGATGACCCTCTCGACTAATTTTAATGTTCTACACGACGACGTGGTACATAGATCAAAAGAAGGTCAACAAGGTTACAGGGCCAAGGTTGTACAAGGTTATAATCTTGTCGTTCAGTTTTTAGCTAATATAATTGATCTACCATTTAATGAGGTGATCCATGCAAATATCTTCTATGTGAGTGCACTCTCCCCGGAGTTAATGAGGCTTTGGGCACTTCATCGAGCTTTCGGATCCCCTACTCAGGCATAGTAAAGTGTCTTTACATGATCTTTTTACATGCACTGCCACAACCTGGAATCCGAAATTAGCCAGGAGCTCATCTATGACTACCTGTTCTTGTGCATGATTACGACTCATCCGAAAAAGGACACCTTTCTTTTGCCATACTGCAACAAGTTGTTAATGTTCACTCATTTAGTAGGGAACATATATAGTTGACCTTCTGGTTTGATCTCATCCATGCTAATTTCTTTGTTTTATTGTGCAATGACCGACATTAGATCATAGTCGCACTATTGCCGACGCAGGGCTTGGCTTATTTCTTCGATTCGAAGGGATACCCTCAGAAGCAATGGACAAAATTGAAGGAGGTTCTAAATGATGCTCTACGCAAGTGTAAGAACTTCAACAATAAGGCAACACAGTATTCAGAATTCATGTTCATCACTAGCGCTTGTTGCTATCAAGAACCAAATGTCAAAACCTCCCATATGTCTGGCTACTTTGTCATGGCCATCATGAATGACTTTTTGAAAAAAAGAAGTCAATATTTGTGAAATCATAGTCAGATCATCAAGTGGTATTAGAAGATGGAGGATATTGACATAGGGGAATTATTAAGTGAGCCTGAGCTCATCCAAAAGGTGTTGGCCAAAATTATCAACAAGGAGGTTGTAAATGAGAATGGGAAGTTTCACTGCCAGCCAAAGTCAGATAAAGAACGACTTCACTGAGTCAAAGACACATTTCGGTCATCGATTGCCAGCGACTAGCCAAGTCGAGACAATTTTTCAAAACAGCTTCAGAAACTATTGATTATGTGTTCAGACACGCATGTTTGTTTCCCCGCACTTCTTATACTCACTGCCTTGCTTCACTATTACTCTTATTTATTGTGGCCACTTGTAATAATGTAATGTATGCATGTGTGTGCATGATTGTTTGAATGCTGAAACAACATTCTGTATTTGTATTGTGTGTGATGATTAAATGCAAAAATACTGTAACCGCGTCACAAATTCTTCTATAGGCCTAGACCACTACCAGTAGCGGGTGTCAAGAGTGCCTGCAACTACTGCTACGAACAACAGTGGCGGGCAGAGAGAATATTTGTGGCAGGCAATATTTCCGCCCGCCACTAAAATGCGCCCGCCCACCACTGATGCCATGATAGCAGTGGCGGGAGGTCAGTGATGGGCGACCCTGAGAGCCTTGCCCGCCACTGTTGGGCTTTTCCACCCGCCACTGCTAGGCAATCCTGCAGTAGTGGTCAGCACATCGATAAATACTTGTATGCACACTGCTTCACCCACTACGAGACAAAAGTTTAAGCATGTGTCCTTGTTATGAATTTGGCTCAACATTATACAACACCTTCACTAAGATTAGAAAGCGCTTTGCTTTTGTCCATCATAATGTACCTCATGATCGAAGTAAGAAATTATGCAGATTGTTCTCGTTATTCCGCAGAAGCAATATTTAGTTATGATTAACATAAAAAATGAATATGTTATGCGTCCAGTACGTAGTATCCAGGCAACAATGCTTGCGCTCAATCATCTAATAAAATTCAGCTATCCCACTCCTAGTCCTAGATTGCTTTGTTTGAATGACCAACCCAATCAAAAGGGTGCATGGATACATGAGTGAAGATCAATATGTACCAGACATGCAAGATCAACCAACTTACGTTAAAATTGCAGTGCTTTGTGAACAAAATTATGTGGGCATCATGACACCAAGAATAGGATCCTTTGAATAATCTTCAGCCTTAGGGCATGCTAGCAGCAAGAATAGGGAGTTCAGATTGAATGGAAATGAAAAAGGCAGCAAGCACCCAGTCAATTCTCTAGCTATAAGTGTGCAAAAGGATCAGATTTTTTTTTATTTTGGCCTCAAGGTATCTCAATCGGTAATTTAAAAACAGTAACCTTTTTACGCTATCGTATTTCACAAAACTGTTCTGTAAAGTATGCTACATTGTGTAATGAGAGACAAGACGTGATTCTCTAGTGTGCATAGGGCTAGATTTGAAGTACGCGGAGGGTTTTGATGCTTGAGTCGAACACATATAACCTAAGCCTATTATATAAATGCATCATAAAGTAACCAAAATAGACTAGACAAACCCGGTAGGCTAGAGACCATATCAAGAAGGAGACGGCCCGAGTGTCCATGGCAAGGGGTGTCTGGTCCGGCCGTGGTGCTGGCCGACATGTGTCTGATGACCTCGGCCGACTTGACACCGATCTTACTATGTCGATTCAGTACATGGGAAAGAGTGTTAGTGATGGTGAACCTCATTAACAAATATCGTCTCTTTCATTTTCTTTCTACAATGATATATTCGCGTATTTTCTAACACAAAGGAAGAACATTCTTCTCTCTGCCCCCCTACTGTTGGCGTAGGTGGTCGAACGCTTGCGCCAGGGTTGGCGCGAAGCGGGTGGTGTTGATGCGGACGTTCTGCTTAGCGAGGTAGAACTCAAACATGTTGGTCCAGCCGCTGCGGTGGATGGATTCGGGGTCCTTGATCGCCGGGTGCTCCGGCCCCAACGTCTCCAGCAGCGAGCTCTCCTCCACGCTCACGCTGTAATCCAGGTACTTGAGCCCCATGTCCGTCACGGGCTCGCTGAACTCCGCCCTCGCCAGGACCTCTATGTTCCCGTACGGCACCACCTGGATCACCACGCCGCCCGGCGGCAGGTGCAACGCGTTCGTCAGCCCGGCTCCGTGCATGCCCAGCAGCACGTCGAACGAGTTCACCACCCGCGCCTGCTCCGCCTCGGACGCGTTGGCCCGCAGCTCCATCATCACCGTCTCGAACCCCGCCGCCTCCGCCGCTTGCGCTATCTCCGGCTCGTTCAGGAACAGGCGGTAGTGCCCCCGGTGGATCAGCAGCAGCCGCGGCTTCTTGTCCGGCTCACGGGTCAGGCTGACCGCCGCGCCGCGTGGGAGACCGTAGGTCTCGCGCAGGAATCGGGTGAAGTCCGCCATGGAGAGGGGGCCCCCCGGCACCACCTCGGGGACGATCGTCAGCTCCTTGTCGACGCGGAGCCCCACCGTGACGTGCGGGAAGCACCGCACCTCCGTGTCGCCCTCCATGTCCACCCACGCGTGCTTGGACAGCCCCCACAACAAGGTCTTGTACTTGACCAGCCACTCCGGCCTATACTGGATGTTGCTGATCAGGAACGTGACCTCGCCGCGGTACCGCCGCGACGCGACGAAGAGTGGCACCAGAATGTCGGTGTAGTCATGCCAGTAGTTGCCCGCGTGCCCGGCGATTGCGAACAGGACGGCCGGCATGCTGTGGGTCACCGTGCACGGCGGGGCGGTGGCCCGGTCCTGCAGCTGCGTCACGGTGACGTTCTTGACGATGATCTCCGCTTTCGAGTATGGTGAGATCATCCACTCGCGGCGCTCCTTCCAGCTCGCCGGGACGAGGGTCACCGACAAGGCAGTGCCGTTGGTGCGGACGTCGCCGTCGACTTCGCAAGTTTCAGAGTGACCGAGGGTCTCGCTCTCCGTGGTACACACCACCTCGCCTTTCTCTGTAGCACACGCCAAAGAAAGGGGACATTTTACTAGTAATAAAGTTAGCTCTAAGTTCTAGGCTAGCTAACACCTATCCTCATCGTCAAAAGACACGGTCCAACCAGTGCTTCCTGCACGGGCTAGCAATTCTACCGAGAAGAAGATATCTATTTTAACAGAGATAAAAGTATTGTTAGTTCATTTTAATTGAGGCTTGGCTAATCAAAATCTTTTCTCTCTCGTATTCATTTCATCTTCTAACACAACGTCTATAGATAGTTTGTAATCTTTGTTCGGTTGTAATATGTATACCGTTTTTACCACATTCGTAGTATAGTATATTTTTCCCGTTGCATCAGACTTCACACCTACGAGTGAGTATGTGTATTATTTGCCCTTTGCCATCAGACTCCGCAAGTTAAGTTTGCATCCGAGACACCGTTTACAGTGTTTGCTGTTTCCTATGCATTGACCTAGATCCCATAATGCACATTTGTCTTTTATGAGCATGGGGCAAGCGTTCATGGGTTAAATCAATATTGGATAGCTAGATCAGTTGCCTAATTGACACTCAAGTCGTGGTTTGGTACTCAGATCTGTCAAACTTTTACGTCTATCTTACTTTTATGTCAACACAGTAATTAACACCAGATCTTGATAAAAAAAACATTTCTCCGGTCGGCCCTACGCTCAAAACAAATGATTTTCCATTTTACTATTTCCTTGGATATTCAAACTAGCAGAGCATGTTCAAATTTGATCAATACAAAGAACAAGAGTGATCTGCTCACCTGAATCATGAATCGGCTCTTTGTCCGAGATCGGCTGCACGTCAGAAGCGACATCTGTAGATTAAGCAACAAGCAAGAGTATGATCTTCAGTTTATAGACTACTCCTGTGTGGTAGGAGTACACATAATGGAAATAAGCAGGGTTGTTGGCATGCACAAAGCAACACAGATTGGTAGAAGTGCTCACGTATTAATTCACTGGCTAGGCAACACATGCCTGTGTGTATTAATTTAGCCATGATCAAGATCAGATGAGATTAGTTTAGTAGTACATCGATTTACACTGTTCGTTCTTTCCCATGCATTGACCTTTGATCCCATAATGCCTATCTTTTGGAGTGCTTTCATGAGCTTCTGCCAAGCGTCCATCGGTTAATTCAATATTTGCTAGCTAGATCTGATATTGACTTCACTGATTCGCAGTTACATCGTGATTCTCGGTCCGATCTGTCAGACATTTAAAGCTTAAGTCAACTCCCATAATTACTGTCACGATTCTGCAACCCACTTAGAGCAAGTATAATAAGGTGACGTAAGCAAGCCATAAGGATTTAAATATAATATTTGTGCTTAGTTAGAGGAGAGAGAAAAGAAGCGGGGCTGTAAGCTTGTAGCCGGCTGTAGCACGAGCTCCAACATACTTGTGAGACAAAAGATGGGCCATGTATTAATGGTATAATATACTAATATGACTAACTATTGTACTAGCAGACTATTAAATTGACTCTAGGTAATGTGGCAACTTCATATAGCCGGATGTTGATTATACTATTAATCATGCTCTTAGTAGTGCATCTCACGGCCGACAATAGAGGCAGAGATTTTATTTAGTTATTTTGTGGGGGGAAAGGGAAGTCCTCAAAACAAAAATATTTTCCATTTAATTTTCCTTTTTCCCATTCATGATTTCCTTGGATACCCAAACTAAGAGAGCATGGATGCAAATTTGATCAAAACAACAGGAGTGCTAGCTCTCACCTGGATCTTGAATCGGCTGTTTGTCCGCGATCCGATGCACATCAGAAGCGACAACTGTAGATTAAGCAACAAGCAAGACTTGATCTTCAGTTTAGAGAGACCAGAGATAGGCAACAAAGATATATAGGTAGAAATGCTCACGTATTTCACCAGGAGCTTTAATCTGTTGTATTTCACCAGGGGCCTTGATCAGCTGTTTATCCGTCATCCATTGTGATACTGCCGCCGTAGTGGCAACTGCGTGCATATTAAGCGACAAAAAATAAGTGTTGCCGTCAGTCAGCCTATGTTATGTACTACTCAAAGTAGAAACATGAACATAATTATTGATACATAGTATTTGTCTGATACATCCGTATCTAGAGAAATCCAAGACAAATAATTCGGGATGGAAGTAGTGAAGATAGCCAAATTGGTCACTAAAAGGACAAGGATCCTAACACACACACACACACACACACACACACACACACACACACACACGTCTCATGGTCTGTCTTTTGCTAGTTCGATCCATAGTGGTGATCGATAGATCACAGCATCTCTAACAATCACAGGTACACTAACGTAATAACACTAACAATCACAGTAATTAGCAAGATAAAGCAGACGCATGAAAGGAATGCATCCTTACCGCTGAGGCTGCTGATCGCCTCCTGCTGCTGGACGAGGAAATAGACGAGGAGCACAAAGAGGACGCCGGCGACGAAGCCGACGTTGAGTGAGGACGCGATTCTGCTCATGCTCGTTGCCTCTTGCTTCTGCTTGCTGGACTGGTAGTAGTGCTAATGAGTGACGACGCGCCGTGAGGGTTCGGACTGGGTTTTATATTCTGGAAAAGTACCTAGTAGGGCACATTGTTTCTCGCCAGCGGGAAACCCACACTAGAATTGGTCCAACTCCGAATGCACGTTGCTAGAAAAGTCTTGCATTCTGGGAGCGGTGATTTGGTGTCCAAGTGCATCTACACCTGGATGTCCACAGTAAATTCAACAAATAGAACTGGTTTTCTTGGCATCAGAGATGCTCTAATGCATTAGCTGTGTGCAAAATTTCATGGTGATGGAAATTCGAGGAGCTCTAAAAAAAATTCAGGTCTCAAAGAAACTTAAAAAAAACTGTTCAGAACTGATTTTGTCTTTACTGCTGAGGACTCCTGGAATGTTCATTCACCATGAAATTTTGCACTAGAGCATCTTCGTTGCAAAAATAGATTTAGCTTTTTTACTATTTTTTTGGAATTTACTATTCATTGGGTGCATATGAGCCTGGGCTCAGACGTGGATTGCCCTTGGATTCATACTTCATTTAGTAGGATATTATAGAGTAAAAGATTCAAAAGTGTATCTTTAAACCCAAATGCCAAGCAACCTTTGAGTTATCTAGATATCTGAGTCCCACTACGCACCTTATCTTCAACAAGATACTTGTGCATTGTTCACTAGCACAATGATCCGCGCACGTGTTAATCATCTACTCCCTGATGATCTAAAACATCTTATTTTAGTTTATAGGGGGGTATTATTTAATTTTATGTACAATAATTATAATTTAGCTATATGCATCCTCGATGCCTCATGAGGCTCAATATTCTCTAGCACACTGTGGTTACCTATACTATTTTTTTCTTTTTGAATATTTAATGTAGAGCAACAACCCCGCAGTCTTTTATTAAAAACTGAACACCGAAAAGAGGTTCTGTACAAGAACTACAAACTATACAAATAGCAGAGGAAGAGAGGGGGGATGGTTACCTATACTATTAGTACATATTCCATTATTTCAATAAAAATTTCGGTATTATGTGTTAATATTTAATATGTTATTCTATGAACTAGCCAGGTGGCCCTTGATCAAAAATTGCATTAAAATAAAGAATGAAGTAAGACAATCATAACAGGGTAATATCTAATTGTACTAATATTGGAACTAGCCATGTAGCCCACGCAAATGTGTGGGCTTCATCTTAAATGTGTCAAAAGTGTATGAAAACTAAATTATAATGTGCTAATATTCATATTACATGATTACAAATAATATCATTCTAATCCCATTTTATTAAACTATATTTGACTAGCTTGGATTTGGAAATGCATAATTCTAATGTTCCATTGGCAAAAATAACACCATAATTTTAACCATATGTGGTGAATGTCCGTGACATTTGATTAGTACATACTACATATAATTAAAGTTTAGATTACATGCTTGATCAGTCAACTTGGTAAGCTACCAACAAAAAAAATTGCAATCAAAGGTTACACGCTTGAGACAGTTCTTATCTGATGTTTAATTGGTTTATGAAGGAAAAACTTAGATTGCTGGTTATTCATAATAATAAATTAATGATGAGGGTACGAAAGTTATTTTGAAGATCTATCATTTTTCAGATATGTTAAGTAATGTTTTTCTTTTTATGTGGGGTTTCTAGTTTGATTCTCTTTTTTGGGTGGCCATTTGCTTTTACTATAAAATAAGTATGGTATGTCATCAAATATTTGAGCCATATATTTTGAGACTCCCATCCCACTTTAGGGCGGCCAATCACCTATGTGTAGTAGTCGACATTCTTGTTCACTTCCCCTTGAATGATCCCTCATCGATGTTGGAGAGATGCCACACTGCGGGTAGTCGTGATGGGATGTGAATCAGCATATTCCTTGTGTTCATGATAGTGCTTGTGGATTTTCCCCCAATACTTATTGCCCTTTTGATCTATGCCACATGTAGGGTCCATGCTTGTGGCCAACCTTTGTCGTGCTTCTTCAAAAGTTGTCAATGTCATGCTTCTTGCCTTGGCTACCTTTGTCTTTCTTTTCTTGTTGGGGTTGGGGTTTTATGTTCCGCCAACTTCAAACGCTGGAAAATTTGGATCCGCCAAGTCATAGTCCATTTGGGCAGTTTCTTGATTGATCATGTCCGACATGATATTGTCCTAAAATTATCATGAATTGAAATAAACTCAGTGTGTATGCAACTAATTGATCATGTCCGACATAAGAATGCAAGGTATTGATCGAAAACGAGCAATAAAATATATCATGTCCTGCTATGTCATTTTGACGAACAGGACATGGGCAGGCCGGGTGCCTCTACTGCCCATGCTTGTTCGCGCCCATTGGGACTGCGGCGACTGACACACATTGTTCCCTAGCGCCTGCGTAGACGGAAAACCATCTGGAGTTGCCCAATCGGCAGTCGGATCAACCTCTGTCGCTGGTGGGCCGAACGGTGCCTTCCTTGTCAATGGTAGATGGACGGGGTTTGGGGGGGCCGAGCGCACTAGAGGGGATACTTCCTCCTGGAGGTCCAGAAGCGGAACTCCCTTCGACGTCGTTTCCCTCTCGCGCTGCCTCCGTCGGCGGTCCCTCCAAGCAACGTTCTCCGTCTTGCAGGCTGGAGCCAAGGACGGGAGACCCAGGGACGAAGCCGAAGTAACATTCGTGACGGCGGTTGGGGACACCCTGGATGACATCTAGGGCGGCGGATGGGGCCGGCGGCATGGATGGGGAGAAGGGTGGACGATGGTGATGGCTCAGACGTGAAAAATGATGGACGAGCGCGAAAGGAAGGTGGTTTGTTTGGTAGACTTGGTCATTTTGGTACAAAATGTGATGGGTCCGGCATATCTGATCCGACTTGACGGACGCGCCCGAGCCTCCTCATACTCGCCCCGGATTTAAGCTGAACATCACAGGTGCCGGTCAGCTCAAACGTTTAAGGCCGGTATGAGAAACTCGTCCAAGTCATATTTTTAACTGTTCAGTGACTGGACCATCCACCCGAGCCGAGTGTATAGGGGTTTGGGGCGTCCAACTATAAATGCTTCAAGCAAACATGGTGAAACGTAAGAGAAAAGTAACTAATGGGGACGGCGGCCGTGGCGAGAAGTTGGTCAGCGATTGAAAGGGGAAAACGTGCGTAGAGTGTTTCTATCCTTTTCTAATCACAAAAGTTCATAGGGGTTGCACATGTACAGTGTACTGACCAGCCTCGAGCGGCCCTGCTGTTGTTTTTGTGCTGGACGAATTCCGGTTGGCCGCCTAGATTGTCAATGGTCAGTCACACGTAGTGACCAACTATAAGATCATATGCCCAAAAATTCTGCACGCATGGCATGCTGCCACACGAGTAGGTGCCTGCAGAAGACGCGTGGAGCTCTTGTGCTTTCCTTAGTGGGGTTCTTTTCATCCAATTTGGACTCAAACACAATGCCGGAATTATGTAGAAAAACATATATTTTTTTAACACAGTACAGACACAGACATTTATTTATATGAATGCATGCACACCCTATTTGTATGAGTACCTTTGAGATACTAAGTCAGTACATCATCTTAAGATTGACGGACATCGCTGGAAGAAATAAATAAATTCAGAAAAATGCGAGCACCAATGGCAAATGTTGAACCCTGATGAACTGGGCATACCCATTGTCCTTCTAACCATCCAACTACAGGTTGGTTAAAAAAAATCTTAAGGATCAATTCTTCTATGAAATTTAAGGTGTGGTATTATCTTTAAAAAAATTAAGGTGTGGTGTCAAGTTGAATTTCTTATTAGGCCATCGCACAACCTGGGCCCCTCTTATTTGCACGACCGTCATTATTGATTGGTACTCTTCCCTGACCCGCTAGCCCGCACTGCAATATCGTACTCGAGGGCGCCGCCGCGTCTCCTCCAAGTTCCAACCAGCCACTAAGCATGCCACTGTTAAATTCATTGAGTTCGATATATACATAGGAGAGCTCGCCATGGCCGACATCTTCCCTTGTTGCATCGCCGATGAGCGGAGGAGCTTCATGAAGGACTAGATCGTGATGGTCACACTCTATTTCCGGCAGGCCAAACAAGGTATCCGCAAGCTCAACCAGGATATATAGTATGGCTGGTAACTGTAAGGATGGACACTTATACGTATGAAAAAGATCATCAATAATCTTCATTCAGTCTAGGTAAGTCAACTACTACCCAGAATACGACCAGTCCTGTTTGGCGCGTAGGTCGCTAAATAGTGACCTCGCGCGTACCCCCTCGCGCGCCTAGCCCTCTGTTGGGCCAGCACATTCCGCATTTCTTCTACCACTAGTTTTTCTTCATTATTTCTTTTTCTTCCATTTTTTTCATCTTTATTTGTTTTTCTTTAATTCATTTGCTTTGTTTCTTTTTCTGTTTTCCATTTCTTTTCTATTTTCCTTTTTCCATCTTATTTTTCATTTCACGAAAATCTTTCAAATTCATGAATATTTTTGGAATTTGTGAACTTTTTCTGAAAATCGTGGATATATTTCAAATTTTCTATCGATTTTGACAATTTTGTGATTTTTTTTCGTTAATTTGTGAGCTATTTTTGAAATCATGAACATTTTTTAATTAGTGAATTATTTTTGAAATTATGAACACTTTATTCAAATTCTCGAACATATTTTACAATTTTCAATAATTTTCATAAAATTTGAACAGTATTTTAATACGTGAAACTTTGTTTTTAACATTTTTTTTAACATTTTTTAACATTTTTTAAAATTGTGAACAGTGGATTTAAACTATGAACATTTTTATAATTGGCAATTTTTTAATTTGGGAGCAACTTTTAAAATGCAAGAACATGATGTTTTGAAGGAACATTTTTTGAAATGCATGGACATTTTTCCAATTCATGAACAGTTTTTGAAACGATGGATTTGGGAAAAAAGTTGAAGTTTGTGAAAAATAATTTAAATTTTGTGAACATTTAGAAAAA